GATTACTTCATGATGTGACAACTTCTCTATTCTAGGGCTATAAAATTATGAGCAGTATTTTCTTTTTAATATTAATAAAAATTGGGTAGGGGGCTTTCTCTCCCACTCACTTACCCAAAAAAAGAAAAAAAAGATCCCTGAATATCCGAACAATGTAATAGTGGTAGCCATGATGGTTAGTATTGTTGTTGTGAAAACACATTGTGTATTGGTATTCAAGCTGATGATGGTACCTCATATTCAATTTACAATATTGTAGATTAGGTCATGTCGATTACATGCATTAAGGAAAATGACTTCCATGAATTTATTCCAAATTTTGGTGATAAGTTGTCGTTGTGATGTGTGCAAAGAAAAGAAAAGCCTTTGTCTCCATGAGTGATGTGTGTACAATCCACAAGCACAAGAAAGATGAATATCCGAACGAACCTCTTGGTAGCCCCCTCTTTAATAATAGCCGATTTAGTTTTTTCTTTGTTCTCCCCTGAAAAATCCAACAAATTCTTGTTGGTCAATCTTATGGTTATAATAAAACGTACGAACCTCTTCAATGATATGGTACCTCCTCGCAAGACATCTTTAAAATGGAACACGGTATCTCATATCATGTTAATTTCCGAATTTTTCCGAATTAAACAAACGGAAAATCACATAAACCCCTTACCTTGAATTTTCTATACCCCATAATACTTTTCTATTCACACCATAAACCTTTTACTTCTTTCCATTTCATCAATTTTTAGGTCATTTTTTATAAACATGGCATAATAGTTAAACTCAGGGGAAACTCTTGGAGCCAAGATCATTCCAACCGACCAAGGATCAAACTATCCAACAACTAAAAAAATATTGGTGCTTGACTGGAAGGGACATTGTCATTAAAACTAGCCTAAAAAATTCACCTGGGTAGACTTGCCCTGTTTCCTAAGGGCTCGTTTGGATCCCTGGATTTTTCAATCATGAGAAAAGTCAATCTTGAAATTGAGATTTACTGGAATTGACAATTCTTGGATTATGGTATATGTTGTTTGGATTGCAAACTCCTTATTTGGATTGCCTGGAATATTTTTTTCTTAGAAATGCAAATCATCTTTCTCTCTCTCTCAAAATTTTGATATAGTTTCTCTCTCTAATTTTTTTTTCTAAAATTTTAATGAACTCTCTTTCGAAAACTTAAATTTTGAAATAATCTCTCTCTCAAAATTTTCAGATAGTTTCTCTCCTAAAAATTTTATATATTTTCTCTCTAAAAATTTATTATAATTACTCTCTCTAAAATTTTGATATACTCTCTCTCGCTCTAAAACTTAAAATTTGAGATGGTTTCTCTTTATAAATTTTGAGATAGTTTCTCTAAACAATTTCAGGTAGTTTCTCTTCCTAAAATATGATATAGTTTCTCTCTCTAAAATTTTAAGATATTTTATCTATCTAAAACTTAAAATTTGAGATAGTTTCTTTTCAAAAATTTTAAAATAGTTTCTCTTTGAGAAATTTTAGGTACTTTCTCACTCTAAATTTGATATAGTTACTTTCTCTAAAACTGTAAGATGTTTTCTCTCTAAAACTTAAATTTTGAGATAGTTTCTCTCTAAAATTTTGAAGTAGTTTCTCTATCTAAAATTTTAGTACTTTCTCTCTAAATTATTAAATTTGAGATAATTTCTCTATATAATTTTCTTTAAATAGTTTCTCTATCTAAAAATTTCAGGTACTTTATTTATGTAAACTTTGATATAGTCTCTCTCTAAAGTTTTAAGATATTTTCTCTCTCTAAAACTTAAAATTTGAAATTTTCTTTAAACTTTTCGAGTATTTTTTCTCTCTAAAATTTTAATATACTCCCTCTCTAAAACTTGAAATTTGAGATAATTTCTCTATCTAAAATTTTAAGTAGTTTCTCTCTTAAACATGTTCAGATAATTTCTCTATCTAAAATTTGATAAAGTTTTTAAACTCTAATATTTTAATATGCTCTCTCTCTAGAACTTAAAATTTGATATAATTTATCTCTATAAATTTAAAAGTAATTTCAGATTTGAGATACTTTCTCTCTCTAAAATTTCAATATGGTCTCTCTAAAACTTTAAATTTGAGATAGTTTCCCTCTAAAAATTTAAGATAGTTTCTCTATCTAAAATAATTTGTTTACTTTCTCTCTCTACAAAATTTTGTACACTTTCTCTCTCTAAATTTTGATATAGTTTCCTTGTCTAAAATTTAAATTTGTTTTCTCTCTCTAAAATTCGATATAGTTTCTATATCTAAAATTATTTTTTTTTTATTCTTTAGCAGCAAAATGGGTCATTTCCATGAAATGTCAATTCCACCT